GTTAGAGTATTGGAACTATTGGCTTTACTTGTTCATACCGAAATCGTTTTCTCGAGCACGTTGATCTATTTTTATTTAATGTGTTCTCATTACATCCCGTTGAATGGCATGTACACATAACATGGTTGATTCCAGAAAGTCAGGAGAATAACATGTAAGGTAAACAGTGTTATTCACTGTTGTTAGTGATTTTTAGACATTGTTATACAACTTTTAATTGGCAAAGTAAGTGTTATTGTATGCAAGTGATTGAGTTTCGAGTATTCTGTTAGTAAATTTGTATTCTGTATGACAATTCGTTTTTTCTCGTCTATGCAGTGTGTAGCAAAGTAGTGTAGACTGCATTCTATAATTCGAATATTTCCTATCAGTATACTATCCACAACAATACCCAACGAAAATAGGTGGTTACTATATCCAACAAACAGTAACAGTCAGTGAGAAAAATAATAAATCCAACCCATTTCGGTGAGGTTTCGTTTTCCGAGCCGGATAGTTTAGTCTTGGAACTTTCAGTATTCTTGTAAACAATATTATCAGCACAAATTTCAGGTAAAAGTGAAATATTGGAATTTCTTCACATATGACTATCAGAATAGTGTTTTGTGAATATTATAGTAATTTCAATAGTTGAGATAATAAGTCAATTGAAGCTAGACCACTATAGAAAACCTGGAAGCACTGGTCGGCCGTTTCGTCCTAGTATGCGACTCCTCAGCAGTGTGCACCAACGATCTCGTCTCGTGAGATTCTAACCCAGAGCCTATCAGTCTCACGCCCGAACACTTAACCTCTAAATAACTGTGCCAGCATCAAACAATGTTAATTTCTAACTTCAACCAATCCACGAAATTGAGCAACTGTTCACTATTGTCTTCAGTGAGTTACTATCTCATAACATACCCACTTGAACTCTACTATTCACTTCTTATCACTAGAACTCCAGGAAATACCTCTTGGTATTTTATATCACATAGTTCGAAAGTCAGGAAGTACAAAGAGAACACAGAAATATAATATTTATAATGATTCAGTGTAAATTAAACATATATAGCTTTTCAAAAGACTTAAATTCACTAGTCAACAGTTTCGAATTAGTTCACCTGAAGTTTCTCGTGTGAAGGTAATACCTAAAGATGAAGTTGATTTAATATGAAGATAATCAATCATTGAATAAAAATCACAATATATCAAAGGTTGAAAGGATTTGAAAATATGCACCAATTTAAATATGCTTCTCACTAGAACTCCAGGAAATATACCTTTTGAAGCCATTCACCAGTGAGTATATGTTGATTATTATCAGAAAGGGGTTTCGTGAGGATTTTAGTATTTTTATGGTGACCAGTAGAGTTGAACTGGGTCTGTTGTGAGATAGTCACTCACTGAAGACAATGATGGATGTGTCGCTCAATTTTGTGGATTGGTTGAAGTTAGACATTAACACAGTTGGATGCCGGCTGGTTCAGTAGTCTGGCAGTTAAGTGTTCGGGTGTGATACTGATAGGTCCTGGGTTACAATCCTGTGAGGCTAGATTGTGAGTGCGCACTGGTGAGGAGTTGCACCTTAGGACGAAACGGCTGTCCAGTACTTTTAGGTATTCCATGGTCGTCCAGCTTCAATTGACTCATTATCTCAACTATTGAAATTACTATAATATCCACAAAACCCCTTCTGTTATATATAATTTGTTTAGAAAATTTTGTAGTTTACTGTTTTCATATTGAATTATCAAGAGAATTATTTATAAATGAAATTTTCTTTTCAATTTAAAAATGGTAATGATGATAAATAAATTTGCTGTTCCTTATTTTTATTCACTGATTTTCTTTTATTGAATGTAAACAAAGAATGAATGAATTTTCGGCGATGAAAGTGGAAACGATTCTTTCCGAACAAAATATGGAGAGAAATTACTCAACCATCAAAAAGTTTTATTTTCTAGATACTTGAACGAATGAAAGAAGTAATACGTTGTATTTGTCCCTTTCGGAAATATGGATTGAAAATTTCTCGACTGAAGCTGTACTCTATAAATTGAATTGCTGAATGATTTTTAAAATAGTGAATTAAAGTCAAATGATGATTATGAACGAGTTATCAGTTAGTCATGCAACATGATATAGTGGTAAACCTGTTTGTTCTAACACCTCTGTTGCAAAGAAAAGATTAATGAAGAAATGATATTCTGTAAAGCTACTCTTTGAACGTTAGTTTGCTTAATACATAATCTTCAACTAAATCCCTTTAATCATAAACTCTCTTTTAATCTATAAACCGTTGTCATACTTTCTTTTACTCCGTAAATGACTTGTTTTGGCATACATTGTATTTTCCTCTTTATTGTGTGTTAAGATTCAGTTATTCATATGTTTATTTATGTGCCGTTTTGCTTTCTAGTTACTGGATATACATGATTTTGCTACAGCATCTTGTCTTTTCTCTTCACAACCAATTGATGCCAGTGTAGCAGGTTGTTAGTCAGCGAATAGGATATTTCTCTGCACTCAAATCCGATCAATCACCAGTCAGATTCACTCATACGCAGTATCAAGGTTATATTAGTTTCCTTGGTTCATCAACCCCGTTAAGTAGTTTGGTGGCAGACCTCCCTGCATATCTGATACAGAACCATTGGGGAGGACAAGGGCACAAAAATCATTCTTATCACTATCATGAAAGAGAATCCTTGACATAATGTAACGTAAAACTCTATTTAGTTCCATGTCTACGCTAAACGTATGTTGTGTGCTTATGGAGTTTAAAGAGCGGCGTATGTCAGACAGTGTAGAAACGAAGGAAAAATAAACCAAACAAGCAGTAACTAGAACATAGATAAGTTAGCGGATAAACAAAGTGGGGATCCAAAATAATGTGAAAATGCAATTATGTATTGAACTTTCTGAAGAAATTGAGGTTAAAATGGTTCATAGATAACTTTTGCCACAAAGTATAGTTATCAAAGCAACTAAAAGACAGTTAAAAGACTTACCACATAGTGTAGAACACTACAAAATAATAGTAGCTAAGTGAATTGCGCTGGGTTCAAATCACGGAGTGAACATCAACTCTGAGATGCAGGCACATCCAGATGACGAGTCGCGAATAGGACGCAACATGCAACCTGGATTCCACTGCTAGCTACCATTCATTTCTCCTTATAAATATTACAACAATTTAGATGGTCAAAAAATGTTTTAACCAAAAGATTTATTCCAAAATGTGTTCAGTTTTGTTGCACAAATGTATAGATAAGTGGTTGTGCATAATTAGAAATAACAATACATGTTAATTTTAATTGTTACTTTTTTCATTAAATTTAATCCATACGCCACAGTTCTGTACACGGATCTTTCTTTATTACTCTATATACTTGAAGATGTTTAAAGTCTTTGATGTTGCCTGGGTTTATTCATTTTCTTATATAAAAATTTTCACATTGACAGAATGATAGTTAAATCAAATATATTTTTTATAAAACTTGCTTAAGAGACACTTTTATGATCAAACTTTGTCGTCATAATGATTTCCTTTTTTGGGATAGAATCTACCAGAGTAGAGCGTAACTAGTATCAGTTATATAAGTTAGGAATTTCATCTTTCATCACAAACTGATATAAGGGATATCTCCATCACCAAAGCCTAATAACCTTTAACAAGACACCCTAAGGAACTTATGGAGAATAAAAGCAACGGTTCTCTGTCCACTTGATGATTTTTTATGCTTTAGTAGCACTAAACTAGAACCTCACGATCTATATTTTCGACATTTGATTTTGTACAACTTTCAGTCAATACAATCAATAATTCATTGTTTCATTCAAGACGTATTCTTCTTTACAGTTAACCACTTTCCTAAAGAAATTTAGAAAATTCACAGTAGAAGAAAGTAACTAAATCGAATAGATTTTGTTATGAAATGGTAAACTTAAATTATTTGGATTTATATGTAATTTTTTACCAATGTCAAGACAGTTCTACTGTATGGGGCGGAGACGTGGAGAACTACGAAAGCCATCATCCAGAAGATACAGGTGTTTATTAACAGTTGTTTACGCAAAATACTTCGGATCCGTTGGCCAGATACTATCAGCAACAAGTTATTGTGGGAGACAACAAACCAGATTCCATCCAGTGGAGGAAGAAGTCAGAAAGAAGCTTTGGAAGTGGATAGGACATACACTGAGAAAATCACCCAACTGCATCACAAGACAAGCCCTCATAGGGATTCCTGAAGGCCAAAGGAGAAGATGAAGACCAAAGAATATGACGCCGAGAAATGGAGACAGGCATGAGAAAAATGAACAAAAGTTGAATAGAACTAGAGTGGAAGGCCCAGGACAGAGTGGGTTGGAGAATGCTGTTGGGCGGCCTATGCTCGATTGGGGATAACAAGCGTAAGTAAGTAATTTGTCAACAACAAAAAAAACTATCACTATTAATCAGAAGGGGATTTGTGGAGATTTCAGTATATTTGAAAGTTGAAGTTAGACATTAACACCGTTGGATGCTGGCCGGCTCAGTGGTCTGTTGGTTAAGGGCTCTGGCTCGTAACCGGTAGGCCCTGGGTTTGAATCTCGCGAGTGCGGGATCGTGGGTGCGCACTGCTGAGGAGTCCCATAATAGGATGGAACGGCCGTCCAGTGCTTCCAGGTTTTCGATGGTGGTCTAGCTTCAATTGACTAATGATTTCAACTTTGAAATATTACTATTAACTTCCTATCAGGATCTATTAAAAATTCTTTACCATTTTGAATCGTCTGTAGTTTCATATCATAAAAATTTTTAATAATTTTTCAATTATTCAAAATGACAAATCACATTAATTTACCTCAACTTTTCATAAATAAGTCACTTATTATTATATCATTCTTTAATACATAAGATCATATAATGAATTACTGATTGGTTGATTTTTTTACTGAATTCTCATTGGTTGATTTTTATTAAACATATTGTATATTTTTGAAAATTCTTTTTTTTTCCTGTTTAAATTAGTGTTAAATTGAATTGTCAATTTTATATGAAGAAAAATTGTTTTTTTTTAAAATAAATTTACATCCCTTCAAAATAAAAAGTAAAAAAAATAAATTCAATAAATAATAAATAAATAATTTAATAATTAATGAATAAAGAACAAACATGAATCAATTGTGTGTGTGTGTGGATATTTATGAGATGATGATTCTTTAAACTGAGACTATTATCATCGGTTACTATTGCTGTATTATATATCCAATTGTAATAACACAGAGAACAAAAGACAATTATGTACAGTTTAATATCATATTCTCATGTTATTTCACTGTTTATAATATTAATCTTGGGAGAGTTAAACATGCAAATAGTTTACAGTAAGTTATGCTGAAATTCTTGAATAATTCAACTATTATATATATATATATATATATATTTTGAATACATAAATATTGATATAAGAGGCACCGAATACATATGCGCCACAATTGTGACTTGATTTTTGTGTGGGCTTTAATGCTACCCGGGTGCCTAGACCGGTACAGGTCATGCCTCTAGTTTTTGACCTTGTGGTCATATCCACATGGCACTGGAACAACCTTAGAAGATGCAGTTCCATGATAGCGCTGACCAACAGTTTGTCCACACGCCATTTGCTTCTTCAAGATCCTGGAACCCATGTACACCATTGGTTTGAAATCAGGGTTTTCCAACTCCCTCAGGTGGGTCCTCCGTACCTACGAACCCGATGAAAATGCCGGATGTTCACTTTTCGTCCACTCACTTTCGTGAACAACACCTCCAGTGCGAGAAAGCAGTGAGTTGGGAGTAGGCTCTATTTACCCTCAATCGTATATATATATATATATATATATATATATATTACTTACTTACGCCTGTTACTCCCAATGGAGCATAGGCCGCCGAACAGCTTTCTCCAACCCACTCTGTCCTGGGCTTCCTTTTCTAGTTCTACCAGTTCTTGTTCATTATTCTCATGTCTGTCTCAATTTCTCGGTGTAATGTGTTCTTTGGTCTCCCTCTTCTCCTTTGACCTTCAGGATTCCATGTGAGGTCTTGTCTTGTGACGCAATCAGGTGATTTCCTCAAGGTGTGCCCAATCCACTTCCAGCGCTTCTTCCTGAGTTCTTCCTCTCTCTATATATATATATTTAACTAATATTCACATGTCTGCTAAACAATCAGAAAATACAATAAAAAGACAAATTTTACCAGAACTATGGGACATTTTAGAGTAGTATATTATATAGGTTCTGATAAACTTTATCTTCATACTGAATTATCTGAACTTATCAATGGGACTATTTTGAATAAGTTGATTTGTCAAATCTTAATTCATTTTACAGATATCTGTTGACTAAATAAAACATGGTAAATTATTTAAGTGACTGATAAGCATTTGATAGCAAGCGAGGACTCTTTTTGTCATGAGTTTTTTATGAATTGAAGAGACATTAGAGACTGACAAGTTTTGACAGATGTCCCGCCTTAATTTATGAAAATACATAAGTAATAAATTATTCAATTGATTTTCAGTGAAGAAAATTTAGTAAACTTCTGCAGTACATGCAAATAAAGTTATACAGTTTTATTTTTACTTACTTAGCACACAAGTCTACTATCTAACGTATATGTACAGAGTCATAACAGAGTCGTAACTACCATCTTCTCAAAAACTTCCTATGGCCTTCGGTGATGCGACAGACTTACCGAAAAGTTTAGCCAGTGTAACTGGCTCCACATAGGGAGTTGAATTGATAAACATACATAAATGTGACAAATTTGGGGAGTTTGTAGTTGTTTGTAGTCATAATTTTATATAGTTAAGATCATGAGTCAGTTGAAGCTAGACCACCATCGAAAACCTGGAAACACTGGACGGCCGTTTCATCCTATTATGAGACTCCTCAGCAGTGCGCATCCACGATCCCGCACTCGCGAGATTCGAACCCAGGACCTACCAGTCTCAATGTTCTAGAGGTTAAGCGTTGGCGTCCTGAGTTTGGATCTCGCGAGAGCTGGATCGTGGATGCGCACTGCTGAGGAGCCCCATAATAGGACGAAACGGTCGTCCTATGCTTCCAGGTTTTCGATGGTGGTCTAGCTTCAACTGACTCATGATCTTAACTATATAAAATTACTAAAATCTCCACAAAACCCCCTTGTGTAGTCATAATTATCAAACACAGCTAAAATCATACCCAAATGTGTGTCATGAAAAATTTATGATTCATTTAAATCTTACTCTATACACTTGTGTACATTTACATATGAGTAAGTATTGATTGTAACCTAATACATCAGGTCATGGTTTTCGCTTCAACTTCATCAAGTTATTCGTATACTTGCTTAAATTATAATGTTAAAAAACAAACAGTTTAGCTTAAAATTTAATTTCTTAGACAATGCTGTTTATTCTGTATTTCTTTTTTTTTTTAAAAAAATAGAAAAATAACAATTTAGACTAATTAATCTCCCCTTCCATTTCACTGTAAAGATAATTTAAAGTTGTTTTTTTTTAAATTTTACCTTAGCAACAAAAATTTGGGTTACATTTATAAAAAAAATTATTTTATTCTGAGGTTCTATTATAAGTTGGCATGCAAATATTCTGTGTTTATAATTGAATTTCCAAAAAAAAATAGAAACAATTAACGAATGAAAATTTGTTTAAATTGATAGGGAAATGAAATGAAAGGTTAGATTTTTTATTGATGAAGAACTATAGGACCACCTAATAAGTTTTAAATTGTCTATCATTTTATTTACAAATATTGTTTAAATCTATATTCAATGATGAATTTTCAACTTGAAAGGTCCAATTTAATAGAGATCAGAGAAGAAGTATGTAAATATTTACATGATTGAATATGAAAAAGGATGTGAAAATTAAATTGAAAAATAATCATATCAAAATTTACGTAGGTCTATTAGTAAGCTAAAGGTCACTGAATAATAATAATATTTAGGAGATATTATTTTTATAGATGAGTTCATGAGTCAATTGAAGCTGGACGACCATGGAATACCTAAAAGTACTGGACAGCCGTTTCGTCCTAAGGTGCAACTCCTCACCAGTGCGCACTCACAATCTAGCCTCACAGGATTGTAACCCAGGACCTATCAGTATCACACCCGAACACTTAACTGCCAGACTACTGAACCAGCCGGCAACCAACTGTGTTAATGTCTAACTTCAACCAATCCACAAAATTGAGAGACAAATCCATCATTGTCTTCAGTGAGTGACTATCTCACAACAGACCCAGTTCAACTCTACTGGTCACCACAAAAATACTAAAATCCTCACGAAACCCCTTTCTGATAATAATCAACATATACTCACTGGTGAATGGCTTCAAAAGGTATATTTCCTGGAGTTCTAGTGAGAAGCATATTTAAATTGGTGCATATTTTCAAATTCTTTCAACCTTTGATATATTGTGATTTTTATTCAATGATTGATTATCTTCATATTAAATCAACTTCATCTTTAGGTATTACCTTCACACGAGAAACTTCAGGTGAACTAATTCGAAACTGTTGACTAGTGAATCTAAGTCTTTTGAAAAGCTATATATGTTATCATTATAAATATTATATTTCTGTGTTCTCTTTGTACTTCCTGACTTTCGAACTATGTGATATAAAATACCAAGAGGTATTTCCTGGAGTTCTAGTGATAAGAAGTGAATAGTAGAGTTCAAGTGGGTATGTTATGAGTTAGTAACTCACTGAAGACAATAGTGAACAGTTGCTCAATTTCATTGATTAATTGAAGTTGAACATTGCTATCTTTGGATGCTGCTTCAGTTGTGTAGATGTTAGGCTATCGCGCGAGTAAATGATAGGTCTTTTTTTTCGAATTTCGTGACGCGGGATCGTGGGTGTGTGCTGATGAGGAGTCACTCACTTAGACGAAACGAACGTCCAGTGATTTCGCGTATTTCATGATGGTCTAGCTTCAATCGAGTCATGAATTCAACTATAAAATTAAAAAGATGATATGAAATACTTAAGAAATTACCCTAAAAACTTTCCTAATTATATTGGTGAATAATTTTATATACATAAAATAAGATTTATGAAATATAATCATTTACGAATTATTCTTAATATCACCTGAAAATTGATTCATAAGAATAACAATTCTTGATATTGTTTATTCAACAAAAATGATTCACATTCTTTGACAACTAACCAATGACCAACTAAATAATTGCTACTTGTTAAGATTGATTCACATGGGTTGTGCAAAGCATGAGCTTCATATATATATATATATATATATATATATATATATACATATATATCAATTGTGTTGTTGCCTAGGGACTTAGCAACAAATTAATTAATTAACTTTCACATAATAAATCGTTTTTATCATATTTATTTAAAGATATTTCATTTAATATGTCAATGTCATTTATAACTTACCGCTTCAAATTAAAACCATGAAAAGTAATCTAAGAACTATTGTTAGTGTGTTTCTAATGAAAGGTAATATAATTAATAAGAAATAAAAAAAATTTGATGATTATCAATTTGAAAGGGGTTTTGTGGAAATTTTAGTGATTTTATATAGTTGAGTCAATTGAAGCTAGACCACCATCGAAAACCTGGAAGCACTGGACGACCGTTTCGTCCTATTATGGGACTCCTCAGCAGTGCACATCCACGATCCCGCACTCGCGAGTTTCGAACCCAGTGTAGTATCGGTGTATACGTTAAGCCCATATACTTTATTCTAGTTGCTGGCCAAACCAATTCACCTGTACATTGAGTCATCTTTTGATCTTGTTAATCATTTGCTTATTAACCTTGACTATATTTTTATATAAGCGTATATGTGTGCACACTTCGTATCTTATTCATCATATGTCTGTCACTCATTTTTGTCTGACTATAAATGTTGATTAACGCTTGCTTAAATCGAGTTGGCTTCCCAGACATCTCCATGTCATTTCCTCCTCGTTCGTTTCCTTCTCTTGTTCGCCTGTTCACTCGCCCTCTCTCTCTCTCTCGCTCGCTCGTTGATATTCGCTCAGGTGTTGTTAACTTTCTGACCTGAGTTATTCGACAATAAACTGTAGTTGCTGCTATCCTTCGTCTTCTGATTTTACGCACCGTTAAGTTTAGAATTATAATGGTTATCGAAGTAAACGATTAACGAATCGTGGCACTACACCAGGATCTACCAGCTTCGCGTCGGATCACTTAACCGATAGACCACTGAGCCGGCCGGTATCTAACAGTGATTTAAATTGAAGTATCAAAAATTTATCACTTTATGTAAATAAATAATAATTTAATTCAGTGATGAAATTGCAAGAGAATTTGAACATTGAATTCGTCA